CGGCCCTAAAGTGCGGGCGCCTATCGAGCAAATGACAAGCGGGTCGTGTTTAAACACAAACTACAGTCCAGTCTTATACGTGATTCAACCGGAACGGGCAATATCAGCCCGCATCTCGGGAGTGCTCATGCCCAGTCATCTCGTACGGGGAACTGTACTCCTACAAGTCGCCATATACAAGTCGATGATCCATTAACGAGCCGAACCGACCAATTCCAGGGGAAATTTCAGACTGATAGCCAATTTTTGGTGGTCAGCCGTGTGTAAACAGTGCCACATTATATAGCGATAGCGCTGAGATAGTACGGGGCTGTAAGAAGCCCAATAGCAGATGACGAGAGCGATGAAAAGTCTCCAGGTTAGCGGAACCCAAACACATCTAGATTTATACGCTTAGGCTAATCTCTTAATCTCAATCTCCGGACCGAACCCGACTTCGTTTCCGGTCGTCCCTTTACGGAGAGACAACACGACAGCTATGAGTACAGAGCGCACCGAGGTCAGGCAGAGCGACAGGGAACCGCTCTGATCATCTGCTACTAAGTGTTCCTCACCGAGACTACGCAATTTATGCGGGTCCCGAAGAGATGTAGTGTGACGATAAAGCAAAACGATTCAACGCGAAAGAGGGATGCATGATCACGATGCCGATACGAAACAGAGTATTGGTGAACAGTGCGAGACGAGGATGTGTGGAATGAAGCAAGACAGCCATAGCGTGCGCGCCCGCTGCGGTACCTTTGCTATGTATAGCGGCGAGTTCGGCGATGACGATCGTATCGGTAGAAGCTCGAGGAGCAACTCTGTTTCGTCAGTTCGACAGGGGGCTCCTCGTGAACCGAAACGGAGCGTGTCGCATCTAGTTGTTTGGCCACTGCATCGACTAGGAGGCGCAGGTCACAGCTAGAATGGCAGATTACTGAGGAAGTCATCGGCTGCCGGTGAGAACAAGTTTCGTCACCGCCGGGAAACATTCGCGACGCGTGAGGTTTGCGTGCAGTCCTTGAGCCTGAGGGTTAAGCTCGTAAGCGAGGAGTGCACTATCGCCGCGATGAACTGTGTGCCGCAGTAGTCGATATGTGTCGGATGCAGCGTCTGGAGCGTCGACGAGGCGGCAAGAAAGTGGAGGTTATCGTCCACGCTGGCTCTGGTTCCCGCATGGGACATGTCCAGCTCCACAACATGAGACATAGGCAGCGCCGTCAGGTCGTTTCAGTACTGATTTGAGCGATGTATTTACGTGGCGAAGCTGAGGTCTGTGTGGTAGTAGTTGCGATTCTTTGCCGATGTCGCGCAGTAGCGGCCCCGTACTCGAATCGAAGCGGGAAATGGGGCGGTGACACCGCGCCATCCTGGAACTCAAGACAGTAGACATAGAATACGAGACGGGCGCATCGATAGAGCATCGAGAGCAAAGCCATGGCGATGTCGGTGTCGTGGCCCATCGCGCGACATAGGCGTACAAAACGGGCAGTCACCCGGCATTTGACAAGAAGCGAGAAATACCGGCGCCACGCCACAGTAATACGGGACGTCTGGGGATGCGGTCGAGATCAAGGTCAATGTTCGCCCACATGAGCGGATGCCCTAGAAGGACACGACGCCAGAGCCTGCATACGCAATACAGATCAAACGCTTGCGCGCGAGTGAGAAGTCCACGACAGGTCCTTGTCGACAGAGCGCTCGAAGATAAGCCCTAGCACCTCGAGCGACGCGCGGCGAACGGGGGTGAATCGGTGGGCGGATGACAGTCATTTCGTGGATGGCTTCAAGTTGGTCTAGAAACATGGCGCGCGGACAATGCGCCATTGTTCACATCGAAATGCGCGTTTTCTGCGCCCAAATACGCGCTCAGAGCGTCCTCGTATCTCCTCTTAGTTTCTGCAAAGACTACATCGGCGGCCGCGGGCTTGATTTCCGCGTCGGCGAGGGCGCTGGCTGCGGCGTCGATGCGTTCCTTCTGGATAGCGGCATGCTCGACGCTCGCGGTGGCATCGGTGTCAGAGGCAGAGGGATTTGCGTCGCGTCCGTGCGGAGACATCGAGAACGGTGGTGGTGACGGGAAGAGAGCAGGGCGGTATTTGGTCGTTGTTTGTGGTTCACTTGCTTCCTTCCCCGCCTCGCCAGCAACCGCGGCCTGGCGACGTCCAGGTCGCGCACGCACGAGAACGCAATAACCTCGCCCATCCGCACGACCAACTCGAGTCATGCTTTTCGCGCTGTCTGTCTCGTAAATCCGCGCTTCGACCCGCGCTCCGCGCTGCACTCTGTAGCCAGGAACACCGTTCTGGATTACGTGCTAGTGTCTTTGTCGCGCCGGAAGTTTCGCGCACTTGCATCTTGGAGTATCCGACCGAAATGTGACCCACGTGCCCGGCTGGGCACCATCTGCACGACGTTCAGCGCCCCGTGGCCGGTTCTTCTCTCTTTTCCTGCCTCTGGTAGACTGCATGCCCTACTACACGGCACTGTCTAGACAGCTCCAGTACGCGACGCACGCTTCACCGAGCAAAGGTTTCTGGCACAACGTTCACACCAGTTTGGTGCCATGCTGGCGCGCTATTTCTGCAACGGCACCGCGTGCGTCGTCGCAGTCCTCGCACGCACACTCGCATTCCCCGTACCTCGCTCACCAGTTGCCGCTCTCGCGCATCCCGTTCATCAATTACGTGCACTGGTCCTCCCCGCAGCAGCGTCCGGCTGCTCATTCGCCGTCGCTCGTGTTCTGCTTAAGCTTCCAAGCCGCGACCGTAGGTGTACTCCATGCGCCGTCTGAGTCGCGCCCACTCGGGGATCTAGACGTACCGTGTCTACTGCGTGCATCTACTGTGTCGCGGTGACGTAGGCTCTCGTGGCCCATACCCTCGCCCCCCTTGCGAGTTCATTACGCTTTGACAAACTGTGTTTTTCCTCGCCCTGTTCCTCCCGTACATGGTAGCTACAGCGTCCACAGCAAGTAAGAGTTGTCTATGGATCCCCTCTCTCGCGTTCTTATCACTCCAACTGCCCTGGATCCCGCCTCGCTCGTCTTCCCCCGGTCGTTACGCTTTTTCACCTATTTATTCACTTATTTACTTACTCGTACCAGCACCCAAATTGCGTGATTGTCGCTTCCCGCGTGACGCGCAACGGAGATATTATAAGTGCACACTTCGCGCACGTTTCGCTCTCGTCTGAATCATCTACTCTCCTTAGGTAAATCCCTCCCTCCGGGTTTAGTGAGGCACTGCAATAAAATATGGCACGATGATAACAGCGTACTTGGAGTATGCGGTGCGATCACATCTGCTCAAACTTCTGCTTGCAGACCCGACCGATTCCTTGCGAATTTTGAGCTGAACGGCAAGGCGTCATTGCTACCCCTGTGCCACATCATGTAGTGATGGAAAGGAGATGTCGGGGCTGTAAGAAGCCCAACAGCAGATGACGAGAGCGACGAGAAGCGTACAGTCCACCAAAACCCGCGCACGCTCTGCATTTGTACGCTCAGGTTAATATGTCAATCTCCGGACCGAAAGTGTCCCTTTCCTTTACGACAGCTATAAGTACAGAGCGCATGAGAAAACCTGACAGGCAGCCCGACATAGATTCGCTCTCATCATCTGCTACTCAACATATCTCACCAAACATTCCGTGTGACAGAATCGAGGAAAGACGATAGATGCGGCGTTGGAACGTTGGAGACAGTCCAACAATTAAACGACATTGCAGCCGAAGGAAATGGCGACGCAGCAGGGAATCATATACGCGTTCGGGAGCGCTCAGTCTCGCCGGTTTGCGAGTGATTGAAGGAAGGAGTACGCGGGGCCCCGGGCGTCACGGTGACGAGAAGGCAAAGCGATGCGGCGGTAAGGGCGAGAGGGACACATGACCGTGACCTCGAAACGCGGTAGTGGCGAGCAGCGCGAGACGAGGGTAGCCATACCGCGTACATGCGCGTGATGAAAAACGAGACAATGCGATGAATTGGGCGGCGGCGACGATCAACTCCCGTACTTCTTCTCCTCAAATACCGGGGGAATAGGTGCAAGGAATCAGACAAACGGCGACTGGACTGTGACCCGATAGTCGCATCAACCGAGCTGTTGCAGTCGCGGGGACGCTGGAGAGAGCGTAGCAGATGATGAGAGTGACTTGAATCCGACATGGGTGGTCCATGCTAGTTTTATACGCGTCCGGGCCGGGACTGGGAGTAACAAATAGCTCCACGCATTGTTGCCGGCTGAAGTATGAGATGTGCCCAAGACCGCTCGTATGGGTTGCTGGCTTGATCACTATTCCTAGTCGCAGATGTAACCTGAAGGAGGCAAACCCTCAGGCTGTACCTTATTACCGTTCCGGGTAAACTTCATTGCGCGGTGAGAGCTATAAAATGTAGACCAAGGCGCAATCTATCTCGTCCGACAGTTAGTGTCGCTCTCATCATCTGCTACTAAGCATTGCTCAGACGGCGGTGAAGCTCTGCATGGAATACTCGAAATCATGGTACAGGCAGTTCGAAAAGGTGTATCGGAAGGAACATGATCGTGGGGATACTTCCTTCCCGCAACATGTACAAGACAACCCGTTCAGATGAGTGCGTGCAACTTCGCGGGACGGTTCCTTGGACACAACAATGAATATAGGGAGTGGAGTGGAGGGTATTCGCTGGTGGGTGCCGTAGTGTGTGAGAAGACGATGGGGTGGGGAGGCTAAAGGGAAGGGCGCCGGGACTGGTGTGCACATGTGAGCAAGATCCGCAACGTTCTGAACGAAAGAGGGCGGAGGCGCGCCGCCGAGTATCACGCGGAGGACTGGGGAAATGGGATGTCATGGTAGGAACGGCGACGGCGATGGACACCGTGAAGCGAGAGAATAGCGCGCCAGCAAGGTCGTGCGGGGGCAACCGCATCCCGACGGATTTTCCAAACCACCCCCGTAATCCCATCATGAAGACGGTAGTTTCAGGCCGACAAAGCCAGGCAGCTGCTGATGGCTCCACCGGAGGCTAATGATGTATCGGCCTGATGGTCTAGTCGTATGATTCATGCTTAGGGCTCTCTCTAATCGGAGTTTGAATGCGTGAGGTCCCGGGTTCAATTCCCGGTTAGGCCCTCTTTTGTGTCCATTTTGCCTGCACCGGATCATGTTGCTTTTGATAGCGGAGAATGAGAACTGGCGCGAGACGACGTCGACGACGCGTGACGGGTACTGGTATGGGGGAAACCTTGCATGCAGTATGCTCTCCAGTATGCTCTCCTCGGCCTACGATGACCGTCCGTGACCCGTCCTAGACACGTGCCAACGAAATTATGGGCGGTCTCTGCCGGCATACAATCTCTCTGCACCTCCACTCCTGCCAACTTCCGCGGCGTCCTGTGGCAGCATGTGCTGCATCCTCCTATATGCTAATCAAGTACGTGCATCTGTTTGTGGGTGCTACATCCTCTCAGTTACCAGTCGGCTCCTATTGGGCCGAAAACGCAATGGGCTGTGGGTACTGCGTAGAAGATGACGAGAGCGGGACTATCAGAATCGGGATCCATATCCCGCGGAGTGTACGGTTGCGCCTTTATATCGTACCACCCGCCCAGTGCCCGCACCCGGGCTGGACTTCGTTCCGACCGTCCGACGGTGCGAGAGGGCTCTTCCGCCTTACCCTCGCCGATCCCCAACGGCAAGAGAATGCGCCTCTCCAGACAGCTGGACTCCTGCGTGTGCAACCTCCCTCCGGTACTGACGGAGTAGAGTCGGTGTAAAGGCGTCTATCTACCCATCTTGCCTTCGATATCTGAGACGAACCTATCATGAAGGATCATTGAGTTGTGTGAACCGAGTCAGTCCTGGATGTGAAGATCGTGTAGTATAAGCCAAGTCGTAAGGCGGTCCGTAGGAGATGACGAGAGCAAGAACTGCCCTGAGTGAGTCAGAGGCAGCGCATATGTCACATCGATACGCCTCGTACTTTGCCCCAGTGCAACACGAAAGGTATAAATGTAAAGCGCGGGACAGAGCTATTATGGGCACGGGACGCAGCCGCCTCGTCATCTGCTACTGGACGTTGCTCAGCATGCCTGAAACATATTCATTGGCTTTTAAGATCACAACGGATGCATCGACCCAGTTCTGGACACAGCAGCTTGTCGAAAGTTTGAGATTTCGGCATTCGGCACCATGATACGTATAGAGCATCATAGGTGCACAGTCTGATCCGCGCACGAGCGCTACAGAGGAGACGCAGGACATGCGGTAGGGGAAGATGTGGGACAGGAGGACGGAAAAGTGCGCCTGGGGGAGCATGACCCAGATGTGAAACGGGGTTGGCCTATGAGCAAGGGAGAGCGCGAGAGAGGAGCGTATGTGGAATGAGGTAAAGAAAAGGCGCGTGCGCGCCTCGGTGGGGAGACAGAGGAGAGGGCGGACAACAACGAAGAATGACAGATACGGCAACGCGAGAGGAGTATGACTCAGCACGCGCATCGACGAATGCAGCACTGGGCGCGGGCGCGTACGAGCCGCGTCAGCGATACCATCGGGCTCAGAGGCGACGAGCGCGCAATGGCGAAGAGTGAGGAGTAGCAGGGACCTATGGTCCGGAAAACGACGGGAGTGGGACGCAGATGCGGGGCAATGCAACTGCTAGGAATGGCAGAAATGGCGGGACGGCATGGTACAGGAGCGGGAGCGTGCCACGCGCAGATGACTGGGTGACGTGGGGAACGAACAGACGGTCCGTACCTGACTTCAAAATCCGGGATATAGAGAATCGTACCGTCATCGCGCGTTGAAGACGAACGTGGGACGTCAAATAGACCCGTAGCCGCGCACCCTCGCCGATGTCGCACAAGATATTCGCCAGCGCGTAAAGCATAGACCAGAAAACCGGCGGCAACGTCGTGTGTCAGTCGACGCGCGCAAAGCATTCCTCGTACGCAATTGAGTGCGTAATACGCTGATATACGGGATGCGCGATAGAAGCATCTCATGATCGTTACACAGGTATGCGCGCGTGCGTGCGCAGGAACTGTGACGAAGTATGCGGTGCCGTTGCAGAAATAGCGCGCGAGGATGTCACCGAGCTGGCGCTAATGTTAAGCAAGAACTCGTGCGCTCAGATCGTGGTAAAACGAGCGTCGCGTACTGGAGTTGTCTAGATCCGTGTAGTATGCCATGCAGTGCATAGTCTGCCAAAGGCAAAAAAGGGGGGAAGGACCGGTCACGGGCGCTGAACGTCGCGTACGTGGCGCATGAGTGAGCGCGTGCACCAGATTTGGGCAGAATAGCCTAGGACCCAAGTGCGCGAAACGTCCAGCGCGACCAAGACGCGAGCGCGGAATCCAGGGCGGTGTCGGCTTCAGAGCGCGCCGTCTCGTAGCGCAGCGCATCACCAGAGGGTAGGGGGCGAATTTGCAAGACAGACAGCGTGGTCAGCATATCGAGTCTCGCGCGTGAACAGGCCCGACTGTCGTCCTCTCGTGCGCGACGCGGAAGGAAGCAAGTGGCATGCAAACAACGACCAAATACCGGCCCGCTCTCTTTCCGCAACCACCACCAGCGCCCGCATCTGCGCTCCTTTATCGGCACGTCTACAGCTCGCAGAAGTCTTCCTTTACCCACAGTGCACCTAACGTGTGACTGCATCCTTGCTGTGGCTGGCGGCAAGGAGGCTTCGATTTGCCGCTGTCTAGTCTCCTTCGCAGCCTTTTGACGTAGGAAGATAATCGTTCCTAGTCAAAGCCGCCGTCGTGTTCGATGTCTTGCAGAGTCTCTATCTGTGGAGTATGTAGCAGATGATGAAAGCGCTGGGGCTCTTACTCAGACGAAGGGGCAGATGCCACTACTTATCCACTCGCGACCTGTCTCGTCGGCCTCTCCGTTCCGACGATGTCGCTGTTGCGTGCTCTCCTATTCAGTCGACCGTATCGGATCTGCTCGTCCAGCCAAGCCCCTCCTACATCTGCGGCCCTGAACGGGGGATGCATGGAATATCCGGATGGGCCCTTGGAGCTACTCTGGCATATTCTAAATCCCTGGCTAGTTGCACGTTGCTATCTACGCCCACTACCTATTTCCTCGCCATTCCTCGCGCTGCGAGGCCTCTGCTCCTTGTTATTTAGTCTGGAATGCGCTCTATCTGGTCTCCTACTGCGCGTCTGTACGATATCTTCGACGCATCTCCCCGACATTGGTTCTTCTTTACGCCTGCAGCGGTACATGTGTTCTGAGCTCTATCGCTCGCCTCCAATATAGGGCTGCTGTGGCGAGGCGCGCGTAGTAGTTGACGACAAGCACAACTTGCGAAGAACGGACACCATGCGCTGTCGGCTCGCTTGCTCCGAGTCCCGTCGTTGGGCTGTACTTGTCGTGGTCGACACGGCGCAGGGTGTTCAAGAAATGAGAGCAAGTGTAGATTCCCCGCGTCTGCCTCTCAAACCAGATCCATCCATACTCGGTGGCGAAGAAATGAGAGCATGTCTAGATCCGCAGCTCCCGCCTCCCAACCCAGATATATCAATAAGCGGCGATGACGATTCTCTGCAAAGCGACTGAGCCGAGGTAGCTTACAGAAGCGTGGAAAGCGTGTAGCAGATGATGAGAGTGATCTTAACATGTACAAGTGTCCGTCTGACAGGCGAGCTTTATACGCGATTCCGCCTGGGACCGGACCCGACGGAAGACCTGACGCGTGGTGCGCCGATATCGGACCCCAACATGCCACTGAGCTCAGCAGAAAGATAAACTACTGATGAACGAGTCGAACGTGGCCCGAAGTTCACTGGAAGCGGATGTGTCACTCGTGTGAACAGACTCGTACGGGCCGTGATATGAATGCCGCGTGGTGTTTATCATGTGTAAGAGCGATCCGTAGCAGATGACGAGAGCGACATGTCACCAGACGTAGCACCTACGTCAGATTCATACGTCTCGGAACTCATGGCCGTTCCTTGCTCCACGCGCTATAAATACAGAGCGTAGAACAGCCTGAGTGGAGCATGGAGAACTGTAAGTTACTCAAGGCAGAACTGCGCTCATCATCTGCTACTGAACACTGCTCAGGAAACGTCTTGCCTGGAAATGGAGAAGCCAAGAGCACAACGGAGGTCATGGATACAACAGCTCGTCGAACGTTGAAATTCAGGACGGCGATACGTACACAGTCCCGTCTTTGCACGGATTTAGGTCCAGCATGGAAGTAGGAAGAGGAAGCAGTGGACGTGGGGTTGAGAAAGGGGGGATGCAGTGTGTGCCGAAGGACGGGCTAGGAAACGACAATGCGACTGGGGCAAGACGGCGCGAAATGAATGGAAGGGGCGCGATATGTGAGGTGGGATGGTGGAAACTGGCGAAAATTTCAGCGTGTAAGAGACGGGAGACTGAAAACGGACAGATGACTGACGGTGGATGGCAGATACGGATAGGCGAGACGATTAGCACGCTGCCCGCGCACCAACGTATGCACCACTTGTCGCGCACGAGCCGCGTCAGCGGACGGAAAAGACGCGCGCGCGCAATGGTGAAAGTATGAGCATGAACCTGTTGTCCGAGTACCGGCTGTGTCGCGTGTAGGAACGCCTATGCAGGAAAAGAAGGAAATGGCAAGGAGCCGACGCGGGCAGATGACTGGGGGTGCGGAAAACGAGCAGACGGTACACACATGCCTTAGAGCCGCGCTCTTCACCAAGCGAAAAGGATCGTCCTGTCCGCGCATGGAAGGTCGGTCGACAAGCGCGCTTAAAGCGAAGGTCGTACGCACGAAGGTACGCTAGCGCGAGAGGAATAACAGGCGCCAAGCGTGGTCGTGGGGCCGCAAAGCCGTACAGACGGCGCTGGCTACGCTACAACACGTCGAGGCGCCAGGCGGCGTGCACGTACAGGACACGGAATACGCTCACTAGCACACTCTACGATACGTAGCGCCCATGTGATACACGGCGTCGTAAGGTGCAAGATAAAAGCTGGACCATAACGCCGAGCACGGCGGGACTGGACGAGAGCAAGACAAGGAGCGAAAGCGGAGATTTTCGGCAACGAGCGCATCTCTTCTCTGCTCCTTTACCTAGCGCGCTACACCCGAACTGCCACGCTCCACAGCGCCGTTTAACTCGTCGTATCGT